GAAATCCAGGTCTACTAACTCCTCTCTATCATGGGTACAAGTAAATATCAACAATTAAGGCTACTATAAAAACTTGGATTGGAACTGGATGCTTCCCACCCTAATACCTCCTGGCCTCATTAGGCCAGTGGGGCTGTAAAGCAGGAATCAGCCTAATCCAGACCTGGGGTCAACACCAACCCAATGTGTTGTTCTGCGTGGTATCCAGGATAGTCTCTAATTCCTGAGGAGGAACTTGATACTAACATTGGTATGCAGCAGTCAGCCCTCCAAACACTACCTATCCTAAATGCAGGGTTAATGCTGACCCTACTGTGCAAGAAATGATTTACTAGTGAGTTTTCAAAGAAAACCACATCAGTTTGGATGTCAGTTACCTTGAAGTGATCATTTTAAGAGTGGTAGCTTCTTCCCTAGGAATAAAAAGGTTTTCTTCTTTAGGTGGATTTCTATCTGTGTTGAGCAATCATTTGTGAAATGAAAAAGCAAAAAAGTCCCCGCCCACTCCCCCAATTTAGGATTTATAAGTGGGAAGAGGGAGGTGAAGACTGTGCTAATTCATAACCCAGTGTGCACTATTTCATGGACTGTGGTGACCTTGTTGAAAGTATTTTCCAAATATCTACATCCCACATGTAGAATTAAAGTTTTTAAAACTAGCAAAAAACCCTGAAACTACACATTATTCATTTGTACAAGGCAGTATTTTAATTTCAAATATCATATATAAAATACCTGAAGGTTATGTTCAAAGCAGGTCAAGGTGTGATTAAACAGACTGAGGAAATACACTGTACTGTTTGATAATTCTTCACTGTTGTTCGTTAAACAATCTGTGGGAAAACACCACCAAAAAGAATATCAATATAATTCAAGCAACACTTACGCATTGTCATTTATCTCTCAAGCCATCATCTTTTGTTTCTCACTACAGTAATTATTTATTTAAACAAGCACAAAGTATTCCACATAAGAAAATTTTCCAAATATATAAAGCTTACTTCTTTTAGTTTCTAAAAGATTTTAAGTTATGACATAAAAAGCCATTTTTATGAAAATCTTAAAATAACCAAATACTTTTTAAAATAAAAACAACGTACAAAAAAAAATTTAAGTTGACTTTTGATGGCTCAAGGTCATGATCATGAACATCAGCTACCAAATGCTGCTGTAAGGCTGCTATTTAGGTATAAGACTGCTTAGCTTGCATTAATTTACCTAAATTCATGTCTTTTCTCATGTTTTGTGTCAAATTTAGCAATTCTGTGTCTCTTCCAACTTCACTAGTGGGCCATTTAATGTACTTGATATGGTAACTTTCAAAATTTGCTCTAATCTATCATGAGTTGAGAGTACAGAGAAACAAACTAGTGAGAATTTTGCCTAAAATATTGACATACAGGCTTCAAATAAAGTCTGGAAACAAAGAGACCTGTTTTATATGTTTTTTTAAAATAAAAACCTTCCATAAATGATATTCTTCTGCAACTTGCTCTTCTTGCTTAGAATTAGCTCGTTCATTTATTCCTTTTCATTATTTTCTATGTATGAATATACCCCAATTTATTTATCCTTTCTCCCTTCTTAAGAGAACCTATTTCCTATGGTCATTTTGTGTTCACCTCTCCTTGTGCTCTCAGCTTGCTATCTCCAAACCAGGTTAAACTGCCTGGCTTCAGACCCTGGAACTCGTGGTCAGCCGTTTCATCTCATTCTCCTGGAGTCCCCTTTACCTTGCACACAGTCACAAACATTTCCAACCCCAGAAAGCCTCTATCTGCTGTCTATACTCCCAATTCTGGTTATAGAACACTATTGTGGAAAATCCTAAAATTATAATGAAGGAACCCAATTCAAATTCATGTTTTCTGATTTCATGAAATAATCCCTGTAGATGCCTTACTAATGGCTGCATAGGGTGTTCCAAATGTTTTCTATTGTCTAGTCCCCCTTAATTTAAATAGACAGCTTTATTTTTGGAGACAGAGCCTCATTTTGTCACCTTTGGTAGGGTGCCATGGCATCATAGTTCACAGCAACCTCCAACTTGGGCTCAAGCAATTCTCTTGCCTCAGTTTTTCTATTTTTAGTAGAGATGGGGGTCTCACTTTTGCTTAGGCTGGTCTCGAACTTGTGAGCTCAGGTAATCCACCTTGCTGTGGCCTCTCAGAGTGCTAGGATAACAGGCAGGAGCCACTGCGCCCAGCCTCAAGCAGACAGCTTTATATTATACCTACCTAATTCAGAAATCTAGCACCATTTAATAGGAATTCTCTCAACTGGGAGTAGAAAGACAGCATAGGGAGCTACTGCAATAATTCAGGAGAAAGGCAGCAGTACAAACAGAAAGAATTCAATGGAGAAGAGGCTGAATAGATGGATACTAGGATATGACACACTAAGGAACATTCATGAACTATGATAAAGAACAATCACTACAGTGAAAGCTAACACTGACTGAGTACTTGCTATGTTCCAAGCACTATGTCTGTCCTGTGCTTTGAACAAATTTGCTCATTTAATTCTTGCAAAGATTCTGAGGTAAGAACTATCATTATCTCCATTTTATAAATAGGAAAAGGAGATTTAGAAAAATTAAGAGTTTCCCAAAATCACAAAACTGATAAGTGAAAAGCTGAAAATTCTACTCAATCTCATTTTTTTTTTTTGAGACAGAGTGAAACTCTTGTCTCCCTGAGTGCAGTGCCCTAGCATCAAAGCTCACAGCAACCTCAAACATCTGGGCTTGAGCAATCCTCTTGCCTCTGCCTCCTAAGTAGCTGGGATTACAGGCATATGCCACTATGCCCAGCTAGTTTTTCTATTTTCAGTAGAGACAGGATCTTACTCTTATTCAGGGTGGTCTCAAACTCCTGAGCTCAAGCAATCCACCTGCCTTAGCCTCCCAGAGTACTAGGATTATAGGCGTGAGCTCACTCTGATTCTTGAGCCTGCACTCTCAAACACTGCAAAATAACTAACATACTCACAACTACATTAAAACCATTAAGAAGTTCAAGACTCAGACTCAATAAGCATGTGCCTCAGCCTGCTCCCAGCACTACCCACAGATATCTTACACCACACAGGGTTTGAGGCAGTCACCAACAACTGGCAACTGAGAAGAAACCTAAACAGGGTGGCATTTCAGTGAGACTCCTTTGTGCAAATTAGAAAAAGGCATTCCCTCCGGGTGGATGAATTACAAAAGGGACTTCTGCCTCCACAAGCCACGTTAGAATTCAGTCCCCTTCATCCTCTCACACACGTCCCTTTTTCAGGGCCCTTTCTGAGCCCCACATGAGCCCTCTAGGTGAACCCATTCCTAGATTCTTTCCCTCTAAAATCATGTACTTTACATTCTTTTTTTTTTCTTTTGTATTTTATATTCTCTGCAGCTTTATCTTCTCAAAAATTTGAGTCTCATTCTAACATTCTCTCTATCACTTAATCATCCAAGGGATCCTTTTACAAATTAGGAAACTAAGCTAGAGAAATAGGTGATGTACTGAGGATCATACAGTAAGCTAATAAGGAAATGAGATACAAAACAAGCTTTCTAGATTCCCAATTAAGTATTCCTTAATTATACCTTTTTTTTTTTTACTATTTAAACAGGTTACTCCATCTGTCAGCTTTCACAAAGTTCAAACACTAAATTCATTTTCTAAAAACTATAACATAAGCCCCTCTTCATGCTGGTTTAACAACATCATGAAGTAGCCCCACATTCTTTTAAGGATGAGGCAGAGTTGATATAAATAAAACAAACACAATTATACATCTGGAGAATATTCATATACTAAGCTAATAAGATTAAACAGGGTTTCGGGTTTTGTAGTTGATGTTTCACAGGGAAGCTGAAAGAGCACAATTTCATCCATAGCAACTGCACACCTATGTTATGAGCCATGTCATGACAACTGACACACACAGCATAAGGATGAAAGGGGGTGTACATCCCCATATTGCCTGCAAAAGTAGCATGACTATGAAAGAGCAATAGCAATTTCTTCTATGCAAATACACAGTTAAAATAATTTCTTTATAAAAATGTAATTTATAAAGAAAGATTATCTGAAGAACAAAGGAAGCTAATCTTTTCTATTTTAATGACAGCCCTTTAATTTTCACTTAAGATAATTTTAAAATTAAAATAAAAGCTAATATAGACTGGTCATCTTGTTAAGGATGGCATTAATGCAGTACCATCAATTTTTTTTCAATGATCATTAGACAGTGATATTACAAATCACAAAGGAGTTTATTTAAATAATGGGGTTAGTAAAGAGCCCCGACTTTCTGACTCTAAACCAAGGAACTCCAGTAAATTCTTCTTTTATCCTTTTGCAGGAATTGCGAGCTTAAGGTTATAAACACGGAGAAACTATACAATTTAAAAATTAGTGAGTTAAAGAATATTAGTAATAATAAAGCTTCCCATAAGTACTAAGTGAAATGGTCATTATGAATTTTCTTCATCTCAGATAATCAATGAAGCCTCATCAAGGACAGATTAGCATAGCTTCTTCCTCAGTGAGAGCTCGGGCATAGCTCAAGAGGCATTCTTAAAGGTGTTAAGGATTCAAGTTGAGACCTCATGTAGAAACCTACTAAATTGTCATGACAGGACTTAAGTATTTTTCAGTAAAGTATTTAACATCTATTATGAGTTTGTACAAAGATCTTTATTGTTTTTCAAACCTAGTTTTATCTAAGATAGCAGAGACAAAGACCAATTTCTGAAAAATTTTTCAGAAAATATAAAATAAGGGCAGGCATGGTGGCTCAAGCCTGTAATCCTAGCACTTTGGGAAGCTGAGGCAGGAGAACTGCTTGAGGCTACGAGTTACACACCAACCTGAACAAGAGTGATACCTCATCTCTACAAAAAAATAGAAAAACTAGCTGGGCGTCCTCTCTCGCACCTATAGGTGCAGCTACGCAAGAGGCAAAGGAAACAGGATCACTTGAGACCAAGAGTTTGAGGTTGCTATGAGCTATTAGGGTGCTACTCTACTCTAGCCTGGGCAACAGAGGCTATTCAAAAAACTAAAACATAAACATATACATATATACATAAAATAAACTGGGAAAACTTTGTTCCTAAACAAGCTAAGTTTAATAAATTATGAAAACTAAGATATTTTAAATAACAGGATACAAAAACATGGCTCAGTGCCTGTAGCTCAGTGGTTAGGGTGCCGGCCACATACACTAAAGCCAGAGGGCTCTAACCCAGCCTGGGCCTGCTAAACAACAATGACAACCCAGCAAAAAAATAGCCGGACATTGTGGCAGGTGCCTATAGTCCCAGCTACTTGGCAGGCTGAGGCAAGAGAATCACTTAAGCCCAAGAGTTTGAGGTTGCTGTGAGTTGTGACACCAAGGCACTCTACTGAGGGCAACATAACAAGACTCTTAAAAAAAAAAAAGATACAAATACAGTAGAACCTCCATAGTTGACCACGTCCCTACATTAACCACCTCCCTAAGTTGACCTAATTTTCATATACCAAACATACACCACATGTACTCAATGTTCCTTATTTTGACCACCGCCATATGTTGACCAGTTTATTACATTCCCCTGGGTGGTCAACTTAACAGAGGTTCTACTACAATATGAGTCCAATATTTAATATATTTCCATCTAGATAAAATATGAGAAAGAAGTGTATGGGTTAACTGGCCTTCTGCTTAACCATTAAGTTTTATTATTGATTTTAAAAGCATTGAGATATATGTTACATATTTTAGTTGAAAGTTAACTTTCCTTTCAAAAATCAGAATGTACATCTGGATCAGACAGTGGTTCAGTAGCATCATTATG